GCCGCCGCCCCCCGCTGCCAGCTCCCCGGCCCCGACTCCCGGCCCCCGCTCCCCGCTGCCCGGCATCCTGAGGGACCGCCCGCCCTCCGCGGGCCCGGAAGGTCACGCGGCGCCGCACCTTTGGCCTCGCAGTCGGCGCAGTACTTGTTGTCCTCCTCCCGCAGCAGCCGGGACAGGATCAGCTGGTGCTGCTCGTTCAGCTTCTGCGCCTTCTCCCGGCAGGAGCGCGTCGCCATCGCGGCGGCGGACGCGCGGGCAGGAGCCTGGCCGGGGACCGACCGCGGGGACGCAGCCCAGGAAGCGGCAGCGGTGGCAGCGCCGACGTGTCCCGCCCCCTCGGCGGCCACCCGCACGCACCTCCGGGGCGGCGGGAGGGGAGGGGCGGAGGGCGGGGCCACGACTTCCGGGCGCCGCCGGAAGAAGCCCGCGCCGCCGTGCGCATGCGCAGGTCTTCCCGGAAGCCGCCCTGAAGGCCTGTCCGCGTGCGGCCCTGGGCGGGGTGGTTCCGGAAGGGCGTCCGCCCTGCGCGCTGGAGGCGTCCCCGGTGTGCACGTGACTGGCGCCGAGGGCCTCGGGGAAACCCGGCACAGGAAGACTGTTCACAGGGAAGCCGCTCTCTCCTGCCTCCTGGGCTCTGCCCTTGGTGGCGCGACATTGGACACTCGGAAGTGCCTAGATGGACTCGTGTCTACACTCGAGGGCGAGTCCCCTGCGGTTCTGAAGCGGCCGGGTCCTGGAGGCTGGAGATGTGGACTGAAGTGGACAGCCGCCCCTCCCGTGGCCGGACAGAAGTGTGTGGTCCTGACGTGTGGAGGGCTACCACTGATAATTGCTGCGCCGTGAGCCAGTGCCTCCTTCCGCCCCGTCGGACCGGGACACCTGACCCCCTCACACGGGAGGGCAGCGGCCTGCGGGCGACTGACCTGGCCGGTCACAGAGCCGCGCAGTGGGGGGGGAGCCGGGAGTCCAGTCCAGAGTCCAGACGCCTGAGTGACCTGGCCGCTCACAGAGCCGCGCAGCGGGGGGCGGGGAGCCGGGTGGCCGGGCTGTCAGCTAAAGAGCGCCATAAGCCGTGGTCTTGACTGAAGGTGAGGACCACCGGGGCATGGAGACGGTCCTGACTAGAGCCCAGAGCTGGCATCCAGGCTTGTGGGATGCCAACTGGCAGGAGGTGACTGGAACGTTCAGCATGTTGTGGCTGTTGACCTTACAGAGACAGCCAGTTTTTTCTCCAGCAAAAGTGGGTTCATTCCACTTTTTGAGGGATCAGCAAAGAATTACAATTTGATTTGGGATCTGAAACCGTCGCTAGCCCCCAGCAGCAAGGAAGGAGAAGCGCTTCACAGAGAAGAGGAAGTTGGGGGCTGTTGTAAATAAGAAGAATTGAAGAATTGAGAGTTCCATATGGAGTGGCTTCTAAAGGGCTGAGTTGAGACAGTCTCTGGTTGGCTGACAGTCTCTCTCTTCTTGATGGTCAAGGAGGGGAAGTCTGTCTTCTTCTTGTTGGGTTCTGCTATCAAGATAGGCCTTTTGGCCTTCCCACTACAATTTAATGAGGTTTCTGTTTATGAATTTCCACATGGCTTATTAGCAATTTTTCATATAAGGCTTATGTGATTAGAATAAACATGGCCCTTGCCTGGTGGGGCCAATGCTAAGAAAGGCAATGAGCAGGAGTCTGTGTCTTAGACTTCTTATTTGTTTGTTTGGGTTTGGTTTGGTTTGGGGGGGTGGCTTGTTGTTGCTGAGGAAGACCTGCTGTTAGCTAACATCTGTGCCAGTCTTCCTCTATTTTGTATGTGGGCTGCCACCACAGGACAGCTGACAAGTGGTGTAGGTCCACACCTGGGATCCAAACCCGCAAACCCAGGCTGCCAAAGCAGGGTGCACCAAACTTAACCACTAGGCCACGGGGCCAGCTCTTGTCATATACTTTTTATAGGGCCAATTCCTAGCCTAGACCCTGCATAAAAGTGACCCTCATCTTCTCGAATCCCATGTCTGCTCGGACAAGGGAAACAAAAGAAAAAATAAACAAGTGGGACTTCATCAGACTAAAGAGCTTCTGCAAGACAAACAAAATCAAGATCAAAATGAAAAGACAGGGCCGGCCCCGTGGCTTAGCGGTTAAGTGCGTGCTCTCCGCTGCCGGCGGCCCAGGTTCGGATCCCGGGTGCGCACCGAGGCACCGCTCCTCCGGCCATGCTGAGGCCGCGTCCCACATACAGCAACTAGAAGGATGTGCAGCTATGACAGACAACTATGTACTGGGGCTTTGGGGGAAAAATAAATAAATAAAATCTTTAAAAAAAAAAAAAAATGAAAAAATCCACCAACTGAGAGAAAATATTTGCAAAGCATATATCCAACAGGGGATTAATCTCCATAATATACAAAGAACTCACACATCTGAACAACAAAAAAACAACCCAATCAAAAAATGGGCGGAGGATGTGAACAGACATTTTTCCAAGGAAGACATACAGATGGCCAATAGGCATATGAAAAGATGTTCAACATGACTAATCATCAGGGAAATGCAAATCAAAACAACACTAAGATATCACTGTGAGAATGGCTATCATTACCAAGACAAAAAATAACAAATGTTGGATAGGTTGTGGAGAAAAGGGAACCCTCATTCACTGATGGTGGGGATGCAAACTGGTGCAGCCTCTATGGAAAATAGTATGGAGATTCCTCAAAAAATTAAAAATAAAAATACCTTATGATCCAGCTATCCCACTTCTGGGTATTTATCCAAAGAACTTGAAATCAACAATCCAAAGAGGCTTATGCACCCATATGTTCATTGCAGCATTATTCACTATAGCCAAGACGTGGAAGCAGCCCAAGTGTCCCTCGCCTGATGAGTGGATAAAGAAGATGTGGTATATATATATATACCATGGAATACTACTCAGCCATAAAAAAAAAGACAAAATCATCCCATTTGCAACAACATGGGTGGACCGGGAGGGTATTATGTTAAGTGAAATAAGCCAGACAGAGAAAGACAAACACTGTATGACCTCTCTGATATGTGGAAGATAAACTAACACAGAGACAGAACAGTTTGGTGGTTTCCACGGGGAAGGGAGTTGGGGGGTGGGCACAAGGGGTGAAGGGGCGCATTTATGTGGCGACTGACAGATAATAATGTACAACTGGAATCTCACAACGTTATAAACTTATGATATCAATTAAAAAAAAGATTAAGTGACTGTCATGCTCACCTAGCCCCATTCTTGGCCCAGGGTCTCAAGTGTGTTTGTGGAATTAAATTGAATGGTGATGGAAGTGAAGATGCTGAATAATTCAACAAATTAGAGCTTAAACTGTGTGGCTCTGACAAATAATAACTAGGGAGATATCAGCATAAGTTCCAATAAGCAGAAAATAAGATCTTGTGGGAGGTAGAACTTGTAAGCCACGTCTTGAAGACTGACTTGGTTTAGATGGGGGTGCATGAGGGAGTCATTGAGCAAGAGCAGTATGCACAAAAGCACCAAGACTTCAAGGAGCTTAGAAAACAGACTGAAGGATGGGGTACTACTTAGGATGAGTGGAGATAAGGCTGGATAAGTCAAGTGCAACAGAATTAAAGAAGGTTTGGGGAACCAGACAAAGCAATCTGCCTTGATGCACTTGCTGGTAGAAAACTGAGGATTCTTCAACTAGGATAGCAGCATGAAAAGAAAGGATGTTTTGAGAAAGTTAGTCCAGTTAACAAACACCATTTTTGAGTGTCTCCCCCCACCTCCAGAAAATTTTGCTTAGCACTGCAAAGATTCAGAAAAAAACAGAAGACAAAGCTTACTGTCAAGAAATGATCTAGACAGTGGATTGAAGGGTCACGGCAATGTCTACAGAAATATAATGCACACCACATGTGTACTTTTAAATTTTCTACAGGCCACATTTAAAAATAGAAAAAGAAACAGGTGAAATTTTATTTATTTTTTTATTTTTTCTGCTGAGGAAGATTTGCCCTGAGCTAACATCCATGCCAATCTTGCTCTGTTTTTTATTATGTGGGCCACCAGCACAGCATGGCCGCTACCAGAGCAGTGTAGATCTGCATCTGGGACCCAAACCTGGGCCACCGAAGTGGAGTGCACTGAACTTAACCACTAGGCCACTGGGTGAAATTAATTTTAATAGTACATTTAATTTAATCCAATGTATCCAAAATATCATTTCAACATGTAACATAAAATATTATTAGTGAGATATTTTACATTCTTGTTTTCATTTTGTCTTCAAAGCCTAGTGTGTATTATACACTTACAGCTCATTTCACCTTGGACTGGCTGCATTTCAAGTGCTCAATAGCCACACGCGGCTAGTGGGTACATTATTGGACAGTGCTGCTCTAGATTGTCAGCCTAGAGGTCATTAAAAATCTAAGTTTGCATTGGTTGTTTATTAGGGATGTAATAGGAAGAATGGAAAAGAAGACACTGATGCCAAAAACATCTTGGGAGGAAAATAACATTGCATTCGTTCACCGAGATTTATTAAACAACTTCTGTTCAGTTCTCTGATAATCAGAAGCTTCCATGTGTTACAGTCTAGTGTGAGATACAAACATGTAAATTGAAAAATTAAGAACCACACTGTAAAGTTTGTAGCAAATATAAAGTATTCTGGGAGCAAAAGAAACAGAACATCAGTGGCCTGGAAGAATCGGGGAAGGCTTCATCAAGTATGTGATGCTTAAATTTGATTTTAACAGGAATTTTTCAAATGAATAGAAGTGGAGAGGAGGAAAAGGAATAGCTTGAAAAAAACATGCATGAACTTCTGAAAGTGCATGGTTGTGTGCTGGAAGTAGTGAGAGTGTAGGGAACAGGAACCTAGAATTTGCAAGGAGAATGTGAAGGGAGGAGAAGAAACTTAGGTGGAGAGGTTGACTGGGGCCAGGAGATCCAGAGCTTTGTAGCCAAACTACATAGTTTGAATATTACCCCATGGGCATAGAGAGCCCACAGAAGCTTTTACACAGAGAAAAGACTTAATTAGCTTTGTGTTCTGTAACTAGAGTGTCAGGCTGTGGAATATGAGTGGGGAAAAATGTTATCAAAGAAACAGATTACGGACGGGGCTGTTTCAATAATATGATGCATATAATGCCCCAAGAAGATATGATGAAAGCCTATTATAAGCCAGTAGCATAGAGTTTGGAAGAGACAGAATCAAATGATGTTTTATTTTTTTTATTTTATTTTTTAATAATTTTATTTATTTTTTTCCCCAAAGCCCCAGTAGATAGTTGTATGTCATAGCTGCACATCCTTCTAGTTGCTGTATGTGGGACGCGGCCTCAGCATGGCCGGAGAAGCGGTGCGTCAGTGTGCGCCTGGGATCCAAAC